TTTATATTCCCTTCCCCTTCCTTAGATTGAAAGAGTTAAGTTTTTCTATGACTCTCCTCTCCTCTCCTCTCCTCTCCTCTCCTCTCATATTCCCCTGGCTCAGGATAATCACCATACATAGCCACCGGTGATATGTGTATGTGTGTGTGTGTGTGTGTGTGTGTGTGACATGGGTCCCATTCGAAGCCTGGAAGGTCAAACTATCATGTATATCATGAGACATTCATTACTCCGTAGTGATCAGGGCGATGCAGCTGCAAGTGCATTATGGTATGAGATGCAGTCATTTTTCACAACAGGACAGCTCCTTTCTCATAAACACACTAACACATCAGTCAACAACAGCTCACCAATGCCTTGTGTCTACACTATTTACTGCAGGACATGACGGAGAAAGTGCTTAGCTCAGAGTTTCCAGATTTGATTAGTCTGTTTTAGACCTGACTAACGTTAAGACCATATGCCTTTCAAACTCCATCCATTACTGTGAATAGAAAGCGACTGTATGGTAACAATGGCTTTTTGGTATCAGCTTATTAGAAAAAAAAGTGGTTGGTAAGAGGTTAAATAGCCTGGAGTTTCATACTGGAGCAAAGGAGAATAGTGAGAGCTAACAGGGATGCAACTGAGACCATGTGACAGAGCGTGCCATCTGAGCCAGGGAACGGTTACACGGGCAGAGGACACAGGGACAGCTGCACATCCATTTTGGACCTCCTGGCTCTTTTTTTCGCTGCTTACGAACTGGCATTTCTTTTACAGGAAAATAAAAGGTAAAGTTTGCAACCCTGAAGGGCTGATGACTCAAATTTACATCAGCAGATTAAATGTGTGTGTATTTTACTTTACTACTTTACTTCTACTTTGCAAGTGCTGTACTTAACACAGTTATCTATTATTCATCGAGCAGGTTATTACAGAGAGTATATGGGGCTTTTTTTTCTTTACAAGCTCATGCATAGTTTGCAGTACATGTGTGTGTCTTGTGTTATTCACATGAAATCTGTGTTGCTAGGGTTTAATTAAATTTAGTTTTTGCTAATTTTTTGTTGTATAGCTTATTATATAGTAGATTCAGTAGAACTTGCATCCAATTCTGCATCAATACCTAAGTGTTAAGTGAACAAAGTTACTGTGTTTGATTAAACACTATCTAGAGACTGATTTCATTTATCACCTGCAGGATGTGAGAAAAAGAAGCCAGAGGATTACAAACATTCGCCTACAATGACCACTGATACGGACAACTAATCTGGTTCAGGGCTCCACAATGAGCATACATAGGTAGGTGAAGTGTGGTGTTAGGTGACAGCAGGGAGAGTGAAGGGTTGTTTCATGGGTGTGGAGCTCTAAATGAGAGATACTATGGACAGGCTGCGGGCTCACTGCTCTCCTCTCTAGGCCCCTCCACTGGAGTATCAATGCAGCAGCTGTGGGAACTCTTCCAGAACTGCAATAAGAAAAAAAAAAAAAAAAAATTGCTGCAGAAAGACAGGGTGTTGCTGCAGACCTGTGCAGGACGTCTGTAACTACACAGACAGCAGCATGTTCGCAGACAATCATACTCACACAATCATAATCCCACCACACATGTACTGTGCAGATATTCATTAGTATGTGTCTTGTATTTGTGTTCATAGTTGCCATGTAGGTGCACACGTAACTTAAAGCACATAGGTGTCCTCTGCTCACACTGCAGCAAAATGACTGCTGCTCCAGAGAGACAAGGACACACATCTCAGCTCTTAAACTGTGCATTAGTGAGTTAGAGCGATATGAGTGTGTTCATTAGCAAAATGTTAAGTATAAAAAGCACGAGTACTGTTCCACAGAAAAAATGCTCTGTGACTTACCTTTACATACTGATGCATTAATTCACATGAGGCATTTTAAAGTAACTACTGTACTTTACATACAGTTTAGTCTTAGTTCAGTGGTTTGCACTGTTTCCTCTCATGGGAGCGTGTCTATGTTCCCACAGCCCTATATTCCCCTTTTATACCCTTTCAGAACGCTTTGCATCCACGTTCCACGGCGTCTTCACATTTATCCACCTCAGCATCGTTTTCAGTTACGGAATTCACCATTCTAATGTGGACAGAAGGGCTAACCGGATAAATATTACCCGGGTTAGTGTGGACATGGGCTTATGGGAATATATAAGACTGTGGAAAAATGGGGCCTAATTTTCAAAACATTCTTAGAAATGTGGGAACATAGGGCTGTGGGAACATAGGGCTGACCCCCCTCTCATAACCTTGTTTTCGGCCACAGCAGGCAGCTATTTCCAGTGAAATAGCTGCCCAGCAGGGTTTGAATTATGGTATTGGGGGAGTCTGACCCCCTGATTAAGACTTGGACTCCCCTCAAAAGAGGTAAAAACAACAGTTCAGCAGTGTTGAAACATTTATATGTCCTTCTTACCTGTAATTGTAAATATTACAACGTATTTCCCATACTCATGCCTGGAGGAAACATGTACTATGATTTCAGACAGTGGACCATACTATTTCTTTACCTTTATGTTAGCTGAAGGTCTGCCAGTCACACTCCCATCAGTGGCTAGCGCCTCTGCTCCCCTGCGTTACACAAGCAATTGGAGACACTGTAGGTAGGCAGTGAGATAATGGAGGATACATTGTTGTAGAAATATATTTTGACAAAAATTTTGAGTTTATTATTTCATTTTAATAGTCTTTTACATTGCAGTAGTGGTTTAGTTAGTCTTTTACCTTTTAAGAGGCACCCCCTTTGTTTTCCCTCAAGAATTCAGGAGTTTTACCTTGTTGGGTAATTGAACAATATTAAAATACATGTGCACTGAAGACTAAGTAATTGTATTAGCAGTGGTGGAAAATAATTATTAATAATAATAATAATAATAATAATAATAATAATAATAATAATAATAATAATAATAATAACAAATTTATTTATAGAGCACCTTTCAAGCAAAAGCACAAAGTGCTTTCCAAAGGTGAAGAAAATTCAAAAAACATAATCAACATAAAAAACTATTTCACAATGAATTTCATAATGAAAAACAAGTGCATATAAACATACATGTACACGTACACGTAAACATTTCCTGTCACACTCACACTCAATGAAAGAAATTAAAAGATAAAAACTCTCAAAGAAAGAAAATGGTAAGTGTATCAGTTGTTTTTAAAAGCCATTCTATAAAAATAAGTTTTAAGACAGGATTTAAAGGCAGCAACAGAGTCCGCTGACTTGATGCTCAGTGGAAGGCTGTTCCACAACTGAGAAGCCAAGACTTCAAAGGCTCCATCACCCTTTGTTTTTAATCAAGCACATTCACTCAAAGTGCTGTAAGTACAATTTTGAGGTTCTTTTATTTTACTTGAGTATTTCCCTTTTATGCTAATTTAGACTCCTACTCAACTACATTTCAGAGGGAAATATTGTACTTTCTACTCTGCTACATTTATTTGCTTTAGTTAAACAAGCAAGATACTGTAATTCCCGTAACACTTCAGTTCACTGAAGCGTGCCCCTACACTGTACTGGGCTCCCTTTTGCCCTGGAGAAAAAGTTGACCTCCTGATTGCCATTTTATAATTTGCTCTCTGCGACCCAGCACACAATAGCAGTCAGCTACAGACTTGTGGAGCATTTAGCGGCTAAAGAGCCAGATGTTTCCCTCAGAAGGTTGTAGAGACCAAAAAGAGAGTGAACATTGGACTTGCGTTCATCAGGTGGACACAAACATATAATGTTGCTTCATAACTGCATGTAAAAAGGTAACTGTTGTGTGCAGTGCAAATAAAATCTTCCAAGTTTTTCAAAGGAAACAACTCACTGACATCTGAAACATTTCAAGTGGCTGAGCAAGAAAATGGTAATAACTGCTGCGAGATAAATGTAGAGCAGCAGTATAAAATGGCATAAAACGCTCAAGTAAACTGCAAGTAGCTTTTGACCAATGTAGAAATGCAGAAATTACAAAATAAGAGACTGACAGGTCAATAATAGTGTAGGTTCACACTATTGCCTTTCACAGGGTGCACACACACATATGGGTAAACCCAGGCCCATGTTTGTGGTTCAGTAGTTGTTACATACAGTATGCTAACGAATGAAGTGGGGATCATCTCTGGACAAGTTTTTTGACTGTGACCCATAAAGTTCTTTGCTGGCCCTTTCTTTAATAACCATAAGAGGTCATAAAATGATCTCGTCATGTTCCTTTAAAATGTACAGTATCTGTTAATGGCACTTAACTCTTTCATACAAAGAAAGAACCTGTTCAGTAGTTCAAAGAAAGAGTAATGCACAATGTAGACTGGGAGAGACAGTCAGTGTGGTTTATGTGTTGTTTCAGACAGGTTCCCACATGTTGCAGGTTACAGTCCCTCTCCACCCTGACTCATTCACCATCAACGTCACACTTGAGTATTGTTTTTCTTATCTTAAGAGGATGGATATGAAAGTAAACAATGTGTTTAAAGTCAACAGAAAAAAATGTTTTCACTTAAGGATCATGAAAAAGGAAGTTTGTGATACCACGGGGCAATGTGTCTTTTGTGCCTTTTTTGTAGTTTTTATGGGTTTATGCTCTACTCACAGCACTGGAAAGACACTTAGCAGTTATTGAGTGATTTAACAGCAATACTTTTGGTATTCTCAGGATCCTTCAGTGGGTGTTAACTGACCCTTAAAGATTTCAAAAAATGCCCCAGTGAGAGTATTTGAACCTGTTTTTAATACAAATCAACTCATTTCAAGACACAAACAACCATAAGAGAAGTTTGGAAACAAGCTGATTGGACAAACTGACAGTTAGTGCAGTTAGATTTAAACACTGAATAAAGTGTGTGAGCTTTACTGTTTTTAGGGCCAGGAAGTGTGACTGTACAATAACTCATTGTCACGTGTGTGAGTGGTGATGGTTTCACACACAATGTGTTCTCCTTAAGGGCTGATCTGTTCCCACACACTGAACATTTTTTATCAAAAATACACTTCATGCTACTTAATAATTTCATAAACAGTCCTTTTATTTTAAACCAAGATACATGTGACAACATTTCAGGACTTGATTAAAGTGTAAATCTCTGCTTATTTTACACTATGTACATTATCAAAATAAAAAAATCACTTGTAAACACCTTACTTTGTTTATCGCTCATATATCTCAACAACCAGTCTCTCATTTTTTCCTCGACAACATTCAAAACCCTCTGTAAAGACACATTATAATACAGTTAAAGAGAAACAGCTGAGTAGACAAAAGTTTGGTTTTGTTTACTCAGCTGGTGCTTTTAGGAAGTGGGTGTTGATGTGGCAGTGGAGCAGACATGAAACACTATCTATATGTTAGCAAAGATAAATTAAAAATCTATAGTCCATTTAGACATGAAAATTCCTGAATTTTCACACTGATCTGAGGCAATACATTTCCTGCACTGATTTTGCATATTAAAGTCTGTTTACAGGGCTTCAGGAATACTGCTACAGCTACAGAAAAATGTCCACATGTGATATCACATGAGTCAGCACTGGTTGGGTGGAGTTAGAAAGAAGTGAGCCTACCAGACTGCTGTAGCCTGCTCCTCATCTCTGCCTGAGGTTAGTGGCTCGAAGCTTCGTTAGCGCTGCTACTAGCATTACACAACTGCATCTCCAACTGAACTGTGAGTGTTTGAATTGTATGTGGGAAATGTGGGCTGCGGGTTATTACAAGGAAGAAGAAAGAAAGAAAAAAAAAAAGATGATGATAGTTCTGCTGCATTGAATTTGGTCCTTTTAAAAAAAAACAAAACAAACAAAAAAAACTGTCTGTAAACTGGTGGGGTAGTTCTTTAACATTAAATGTTAGTGACGCCCTGAACTCTGAAAAAATATAATAAATTACATCTGAACATTTAAACCATGTTAATACCAAAAAGGCTGGTGTTTTAACAGCAAAGATGATTCTAATCAATAGAGTGCCAATTTAATCGTCATCACCACCATCATCTTCATCATCGCCGTCATCATCATCATCATCATCATCATCATCATCAAGGCCATCTTCCTCCTCTTCATCATCTCCACTGCTGGGCTCGGACTCTTCATCATCTGAACTCTCAGCTTCTTTCTTCTTCTCCACAACTTTCAGATGAACTGCCTCTTCATGTGTACTGACCCAACCCCAATGAAACAAATTCAATCGCACACACACAGACAAGCACACACACACACACACATATTAACAGTGAGATTGGCCATTGGTGGATAACTGGGTGTATGGAAAGTGCAGCAAATAAACAAATGGCCCACACTGGTTTACATCAGCAAACATCCATTGCCAAATAGAACAGAGGAAGAGACTTTAAAGATACAATACCCCGAATCCTCAGCTTGAAACACACCCAGCCAGAGTACCACAGAGAATTGATATATTGCTTCTTTCAGTGGACAAAGACATCAGTTCATGAACATTTCTCCACCAAAACCACTGTAGTTCTCTGGATTAGTAAAATTCTTCACCTGTACTCACAAATCAAAGTGACAAAACAGCAGTGAAGCAGCAGTTCTCATAGAGTAAAGGGAAGATTTTGCCCATAAAAAGTTTATCTGCTCATACCAGCCATATCTTGAAAACTTAACCCAACAGTAACAGGCAATAGAGAGGATATATGACTCAATTCACCATAGCAGTGTCATGTCTGAAGCACTATTGTGCTCTTTAGGGGTAAAATGAATTATATACAAGACTCACTTTCAATTGATGATTCAGTTAAAGCATAGTTCTATAAAGCACACACACGCATTTAACTGGAGATTCCATTGCTATATGATAAAAGAGCAAAACAATTTTTAAAAAAAGCCTAATTGGTGCAGCCAACACTGCTGCTGTGAATTGAAGTTAATGAACAAGTTTAAAGAACTGCACTTGGAAAAATCCATCCATATTTACATCCCCTAGTCTACAGTTTAAAAACTGATGAAATTAAGTTAGTAGTTACAATCACTGGCAACATTTGATAAAAACGTGTATGTGTACATAAAGATTTGGCTTTACAACAAATTGCATGGGTGGTACATTATATCGCTAATACTGAAGTAAATAAACTGTAATAATATATGAGAGGTTCACATTGGAGCAGCAAACATGGAAGACAAAGACGCCTCCCCACCCTCAGCTTTCATTTTCTCTTCCAGAAGAGTGGAACCAAACAGCCAATCAGACTCAACATCAGTCCAAAAAGAAGAGAAGCAGAGGCTCCGGCTCTCTGGCCCTCACCACACAGTCGGGTCCTTCCACTCACGCTCCTGTGGGTGCAGCTCAATGTCGTTTTCTATGTGCCTTCTCCTGTAGTACCTCACTGCCACAAAGATACCAAGGAGGATCAGGATTACACCGCAGGCCCCTCCAACTGCGAGCGCCAGGACCCCGATCTCAGAGAGGGAAACTAGAAGCAAACATCAGTGATAAAAGTGGGTGAAAGCAGCAGCAGAGAAAACAATAGCGACAAAACAGACATAGCCATACATAGACGGAGCATCCTAGTGGTTAAACATATCGTCCTTCTTCTTCATACCTCAAACACTCCACTTGCTTAAGTGCTGCTGAGCAAGACACTGAACTCCATCCTGCTCCAGGGATGACCTCTGACCTACCTGTAGAGAAGCCTGAGTAATACTACTACCAGAATTCTTCTACCAGAACCAGTACTACCTCATAAATACATACCTAACATACTGAGGTCATGACTGAAAAGCAAAAATAAAAGCTTCTTTGACAATTTTAAATTTCCTTTTGCTATAGTACATGTGATGCAGATGAAAACTTTTCATCTTCCCAGAAAATACTGAGTCTTACAGATATACAGTGCTGCCAGTCTTACCTTTGTTGACGACTTTGAGGACAATCTCTCCATTACTGCCGTGCACATCTGGGCGGTTACGCACCTGGCAGATGAAGGTACCATTAAAGGTCGGAGGCACCTCATGCAGGGTGATGGAGGCGTCCCGTCTCATAATATCTCCCGACCACACTGCATGGTCTTTAAAACGCCCGTCCACGGGAGGATATGCTACCTCATGGTAGTAAAATACCTGACACACACACACAAAAAAAAAAAAACACACACATCCATAAACACTGCAAACACTGTAAGAATCCAAATAAATTAGCAAGCATCAAAGAGATCTCCTTATCTACCACAGCTCAGCTTGACGAGGACTTCTGGATTTCATTAATGATGACATTATAACACAATAAAAACACATACAAAGTATTCTTATAGAAAACCACAGTTACTACATACCGACTCATCTGATGCTGAATTAATGGGGCGGAAGTTCCAGGACACTGTGACTGACTGGGGCGTCACTGGGTGGTTGGAGGTGAAGGTACACTTCAGTTTCACATTTGTCCCGTTGACCACTTTCACCTCTCCTGGAGTGTAAATATCTATTCCACTGACATGTCGCATTCCTGTGATAAAGAAAACCAAGTGAGAAAGAATACTCATTTATATATGCATTTCTGTTTCTTATTTCAATCCTCAGATTCAGAGGAATTCATTAAAAAAAATCCAAACAATAGAGTTTTTCACATCAAATGTAGCCTAGTTATCACCACTTAACTAAACAGAAACATCCTTGACAGTTGAGAGCAAAGTGACACGGAGATATCTGGTGTTTATTGTTTGTAGCTATAAACATTTTTTTGTGCTGACTTACTGCCCACAATGTCCTCTACAGCCACTGCCCCGAGGTTGTACGACCTGATTCTCCACTTATCTAAATGAATTCACTTGAGTGCTTCAGTAGAGCAAACAAGAGAGTAAATAATCGCTGCTACACCTACCACAGGTTAAATAATTAAAACAGTTTGACAGACACCAGCTTTACAGATGCCTTAAACACATGGCATATTAAATAAATCACCTGACAAAAAGCATGTTTGGATATTTGTGATTACACGTCTTAGCATTGGCCCAAATTTTGTTTTGTTTTTTTTTGTTTTTTTAAGTTGAAACCATGTTTAAGTATCCTATTACAGTAAGTGCAATTTGGCAACTGTTCATCTCCATCAAAGCGGTTTGGTGTAAATTTTAGCTAAATCTGTATCACACTGTCAGCCGCAGTGATGAGCACACTTGCAGACTGCAGATTAAAACATTCCTTCTAATAAACCACAGAGAAGAGGAAGCCAAGAATGTTCTGTAATCCTGCACCGAGAGGCATGACATGAAATGTATGCCTCTAGATGAAAATTAAACTGAAGAGGATAACAGAATTGAAGAGGATGTGGTTAGTGTCTCTCTGTGAAGAACCTCAAGGGATTTGCACATTACCATATAGCAGCTCTGTAAATGATATCCAGTTGAATTATAAAAAGAGGGATACATAAAACTTGAATCTAAAAACTGGAGATCTAGTAGAGACTAGTAGGCCACTAAGATCTACTACTTACTTTTGACAGTAAACAGAGGATAGAAAACATCTTATAAATAAAAGAAATTTCAATATTTCACACGAGAGGTATGAAAAGTCCACACATGGATTGGCTTTTTCTCTTTTCTTTGTCACTATCTATTTATTAAATTATTGATTTATTCATATGTACATTTGTTTAGTGGTCTGGAAATCTGTTTCTATTTAGGATAGGTTTCTTTGTCTTATTCCTGAAACCTTGTTTAACTCCGACATTATCACTTCCTCTTATAATTGTGTGGGTGTTTTTTTTTTTCTTTCAACAAACTGGGCAACAAAGAAAAATTTCTACATGTGCATGGCACTCACCTAAACTAAGACTGGCAGAACCAGAAACGTGACAAATTTGAACCACACAGTTACATTACAGTGCTATTTTAGGGGAGAGTGTTTGTTTCCCCCCACCTTTAGCAAGTAGCTACACCCAATGCTTCTGGTAAAATCAATAAAGGAGCCAAGCAGGAAGTCTTGGCACATGATATTTTATCTTGAATACAACAACCTAAATGATAAATAGAGGTTCTTAAAACAGCATTTAGATATTCTCCTATGTCATCTATTTGAGATGATATTTAGAAGATTTAAGCAGAATTAGAAGAGAACATTTTTCTTACATTGTCACATTAACATGTTCAATAGACACTTATGAGTGTTTCTCTCAGTAAGACAAATTCAGTATTTGTCTACCACACGTATAGTCATAAAAGTGCATTAACCACATTGAAACTTGCATGTACCTGTTTAACAGCAGATGATGAGAATTAAAAGTGGAATTTATAAAATTCATTGCCCACTGTCCATTTTTGCGATGACTCCCCTCTCCAACCTTTCACTCTCTTATTAAAACTTCATTAATGAAAAGCTTTCCAACCCTGCAGGTGAATACTGTTGATACACTGCAAATTAAACAGGTCTGTTCTACCTGCAAGACAAGTAACAGTTTGGTTTCAGTGCTTCCATAATACATCACTCACTGGAAAAAGCCTGGGAAACTTAGGAATGATTATTTTTGGTACAAAGCCTGCTCCATGTTCTCTCTCTATTGTGACATCATACATTCAGACATCTCCTCTACAACTCACTGGCTTCAACTTGAAGTTTTAAAGTCTCTAATATCTCTTATGGATTCACCTGTAGCCTACTAGTTGTTTTCCACGATTCAACAATAAAATCAGGCCTCTCCCCAGGCCAGGTGTTTCAAAGCTTGCCTGTCCGAACAGCTCCTGCATCCTCAACATTTGCAGAATATTTGAGCAAAACAAAATCTGGTGTCAGCATAACAGAGATGGTATCATGTGTCCTTCAAAGCCAATATGTTGCATGTTATTGCGTTATTGAGTTTCAACCCTTGTTACAGCATCTCCAGCAATGGAATCAATGGAAACTGCAGGAGCATCTTGATTGCAGGAACTGTGAGGAATGTGTTGTGATGAATTTTTCCTTCAGAGTAGTAATTCATGCCCTCAAGTTACAAAACATTTCCTGAACCTACCAATAAGTTTGCTCTGTATACAGTACAAACTTAATGTCCTACATTTAGTAATTTAATTTGAATTTTTACTTCAGTAACCCCATCACGTCAATCAGTGTAGATTTACCAAAGTTAGACAAATGGCGTCTGAAACAGCAGCCTACATTGCTGTGCACTGCTGTTTGTTTCTACCACTTGTCGCCATAGTCAGGAATTACACATAGGACCATTGTGCTAACATGTTTTTTGACTTGTTGAAACCCAAGAAATTGACACATTTAGTTTCTAGTGTTGAGTCAACTCCATGGCACTGTGTGTAGAACATAGCACTGAAGTGTTTTAAGCAAGTGTCTATTTAAGCCAGTGCTACAGGATTTTGCCAAAAATGTATGCCCTCAGGATTTTGAGATTCTTGACTTGTAGTCAAGCTGATGCATGTTGCTAATTAACATTCAATCTGCAGGTCCTTGCCAAAATGCATCCCTGATCCAGACATTTCATTAAACTGAGACAATACATTTAAGTACAGTAAATAGCCTATTAAGTTATGAATCAAATAAAGTAGCTGCAATTAACAGCCCCCTTTCAAAAATGTATAACACTTCTAATGTTCTTACAGAGAAATAGTAACAATGATAATAAAAAAAAAAACTTTAATAATCACATTGTGGTTCACAAAATTACCTTTTCAGAAACATACTGAAAATGTGATTAGTGGCAGTGACCAGTTGTGACCTCGGTTATTGGGCGGGGGGGAGGGGTAGTAATTCCCATGTCTTCTTTGCTTAATGAAAAAGTGTTAATCGTGCATATTTTTGTGTTCCTCTACCTTAACTGTCACAGTCAAATTTTGGACAATATATTCCAAGTTGTATAGATGTGTATAACAATCCAGTGACTGTCGTTTCATTATATATAAGCAATAATCCATGGCCTCAGAAGCTACCGTGTATGTTTAAATTCTGTAGTCTATGTGTACAAGTGACTGACTGTAGAATACATTATATGTCAGCATAATACTCTTTCACCCGTAGGTTAGGTTATACTATTCACCAGCAAGAGCAGCCTTCATATGAAGGTCGATCTCGCCCATTGCAAGTAAACAAACTCCAGACATTCAGATTCTTGCTGTTCTGCAAGTGAATGTGACTCATAATCCACCTGTCATTATTTAACAGTATTAAACGTACTGTTTCATTGTTTTAGGTTAGAGATTACATACATAATTACGTTACATACTAATGAATCATTCTAACTCCAGGAAGTTGGTCGAACTCACCTGGCAGCACGAATCCTCCCAGGAGAAGTAGAGGCCCTATCCGACACATTAGATCAAACATTTGTACTGCCTCAACTCCGGTGGTTTAGTTCCTCTGTAAAAGTCCCCTCATCCAAGTTTAAAGATGGGAATCATGAACTTGAACGTCCCGCAGACAATCAGAGAAAAACGTCTTTTTGTTCAATCCACACTTCAATCGGGGAAGTGTGAGTCACTGCCCCTACACACTTGATGGGCGGTGTTTAGTCTATTCAACTACCTTCTTGCATAACCTGAATGCCGACCTACCCAACCCCACACAGCCTGCCACCCAACACCTGACCTGTGTTGGTGTGATTGTCATCCCAGGAACCCAAAATGTTTGGATCTACAGTCACAGTCAGACTGGTTGTAGTTGATAACTCAGAGTAATGACTGAGAGTCAAATTAAGTTTTGAATTACAAAGCCAATTCTCTACTGACTGGTACCACCTTGTGGCCATGGTGAAAAACCAGTCACTCTTCACTCAGAAGTCAACAGACATTCATGTGCTGTATTCTGATGCTATGGGCACTTTTGTAATGAGGTTTTGTGTGATGGCAAGAGTGGAGGTAGCTTACAGCAATTAAGATCACTATGTAAAAGAGGCGTATATGCTTGTTTATTTCTGAAATAAAAAAAAAATACACTTTTGTCATAATATTATGACATAAAAGTACCATCACTGTTATTTTAATAATAATGTTCAGACTGGTTTTTTGAGGTCATAGTTATAGATTCTGAGTTATTGCTAAAACCCTCTTCTCTAAACCACCCCCAATGTTTATGATTTTCCACTTCATGCCCGTGAAGAAACATTATACTCTGAATTACTTAAATCTTATATTCATCATCTGCTTCTGCAGGAAACAAATATCATTACGGCAAGATTTTAAAAGAAACATTGTGAGTCACTGACATCTGTTTGACCAGTACAGTTATGCTTGAACAAGGCATTGCTCACAAAACGGCGCAAAACTGCAGGATAAAACTCTGCCAAAGAACATCAAAAGAAGATGATGAATGTTGGCAGCACATTCGTTAGTCAGATGAAACCATTCATCATCAGCAGACCCTTCCCACTCACCGACACACCTGGTCTCATTTATTATGCCCCGTCAGCCTTAGTTCCAGTCTGTTCACATGCCTGTTTCTTGGACTTTGACTTTTGCCCACTGCTTTTTCTTTGAGCTGCCTGCCTGCTTGTAGGCCTCTGATGTCATCACTATTTCATGATTAAAGCTCCTTTACTGCACCTGCCTGTCTGCTTATATCTGCTTTCTGCTCACCTATCCTACATCATTTGTGACACAATCATTTGTGACGAATGGAAAAAACATCTGTCCACAGATTCATGCAGCAGAATTGAGTTTGTCATCAAAAATAAAGTTGGACATATGAAATAATTTAAAAATAAAAGAATTCAACCACGCTAATGAGGGGTGTTCTGATTCTTGTCGCACTTGGTCTTTTAATATGAAGCTTTCATTATAGTTTAATTCATCACACATTTAGGATTTTTCATTTTTTCAAACCAAATGGCAAATAAAATTGTATTAAATGGGCAGAATTTGTAAGTACAGTTCAGTAATATACTGTTTTGTTGTGTACTATATGGGTGGTAGAGATTGCATGTTTCCATATCACATTTGTTTCCACAAGTTGCATATTGCATAGTTGCATCCAGTCTAGTTGTTATCATGCATAATTATCTTGTATGAACACATCCTAAACTCAAATTTAAGGTGAGCACAGAGAGGCTTTCCCCTAGACTAGACCCCCTACAGTTCCCCGACAAGGAACATATTGGAGTGGATGATGCCGTCCTTTACATGCTCCACTGGGCCCATTCTTACTTGGATGAGCCAGGTAGTTACATGAGGATTATGTTCTTTCATTTCTCAAGTGCATTTAACACCATCCAACCCCCCATTCTTAAAGACAAGCTGGAGGGGATGGGGGTGGATCCCTGCTTCACGTCCTGGATTGTGGCTTACCTGACAAGACGACTACAGTACGTCAGGCTGGGTAACTGTGTCTCAGGTACAGTGATGAGCAGCTCTGTGGCTCCACAAGGTACTGTTCTGGCTCCGTTTTTCACCCCGTATACGATGGACTTTAAATACAACTCTGAGTCCTGCCACATCCAGAAATACTCAGATGACACAGCTATTGTGGCGTGTATCAGGAACAGGCAGGAAAAAGAGTACACGGATCTGATGATGGTCTTCAGTGAATGGAGCAACAAGAACTGCCTCCTTCTGAGCACCTCCAAGATGGTCATGGACTTTCAGAGGTCTAGGCCCACCCTTCAGCCAGTCAACATTCGAGGGAAGGACATTGAGGTGGTCAGTAAACTGGATTGGTCCCTGAATTAGGATGTCATCTACCAGAAGGGGCAGAGCCAGCTCTTTTTCCTCAGGAGGCTCAGGTCCTTTGATGTCTGCAGTGAAATGTTGCACATGTTTTATCAGTCATTGGTGGCCAGTGTACTTTTTTATGTTGCAGTCTGCTGGGGCAGCAGCATGTCCGACATGAACACAAGGAGACTGGAAAAGCTGGTAAAAAAAGGCTGGGTCTGTGCTTGGCAGGAGTCTGGACTCACGCAGGACTGTTGTGGAGAGACGCATGCAATGTAAGATGGAGGCCATTTTGGACAATACCAACCATCCTCTCCACAAAATTCTGGCAGGACAGAGAAGCAACTACAGCTGCAGCAAACGTCTCATCTCACTGCGCTGCAGAACAGAGAGGTTCAGGAGATCCTTTGTTCCCACTGCCATCAGGCTGTATAACACCTCAGCCAATATTTATTATCAACTGTTATCAGTTATTATTATTATTATTATTATTATTATCAACAATTAGCTAATGGACACATGAATTTCTCCAAGGGGATAAATAAAGGATCTATCTATCTATCATTTTTCATAACATCCCCTTACCACACCACTCAGTGTCTAAAACGCCCATCAGGGGGAGGATATGGCCTCTTAGAGGAAAAGAGCATCTGAAACACACACACAAGACATGCACTCTAGTTTGCAGACAAGAAGCCTTATAAAATAAGAGCTGGATAAAAAACTGAAACACAATGAAAACCTCTTTACAACACCATCCTTAAACATCCTGTGCCACACACCATCTCCTCGGGTTCTGGATGCGGGGGATGAAAGTACCAGGTCACTGTTACAGACTCAAGTGACACAGGGTGACATGATAGGAAGATTCACTTAAGTTTCACATCTGTCCCGTTGATTTAGGAAAGATTCAGGTAATTCAAACTCACCAGGCACCAAGAATAGTTCCAGAGGAACAAAAAGCAGATTCAACTGATACATGGTACTGAAAATGCTGAGTAAAAGTCAATTAATTGGAAATAAATGAATTGGAAGATTCATAAAAGTGTTTCAGCACGGACTGGGACCACTAAATGCTAAATGTTGGTGGTGAGAACATGTTTTGCAGTTCCTGATGGGCGGAGCAGCAATAAGCCTATGAGAGTATTTCTTCATAACCTCTTAATGTACAATACTTTCTGTACCTGTCTGCACATGTAAAATATAGGAAAACAACTGAGACTGTTTTGGCAGATTAACAAATATGCACTTGCACAAGTCTCACTGATATAATAAGCAAAATGCAATATTGCTGAATTAAAAATTATAAAACAGCTTATTCCACCTTATCTGTATAATTTAAAAAGGGCTACTTTACCAGCCACAAAAATGATCATACCATAATATCATTAAGAAAGAATATATTTATCTTTACAAAGAAAACAAATACATTGAGTGGTTATAGTAGTTAAATGTAGTGTGCCAGATTGGCTGATCCACTCTAGAAGTCAGTATAGGTGTAGTAACATGCTGATGTGGTTGATCCTGCTCAGACTTTAATTCAGATCTTAACGCATATGAAAGAAATTTACATTGTTTAGCATTGCGATAATGTTGCAGCTTCAACCATAAAAATATGTTAATGTGACTTGTAATTTAGGGTGCTGACATTGAAAATCTGTGACTTCCACTGGTGATATGTTCAAGCATACATTACTGTATTTACTCTAACAGCCAAAATAGGAAGCTGATATTTCCTGTAATTCCTGAAGTGCTGGAAGGCAGCAATTGGGCTAACGTGACCATGATGCATTGCGATCAGCTGACACAGAGAGCTGAGATCAAGATTGGCCACGAGTGGAGGTGACAGATCATTTTACAGTATGTCACAGCAAAGATGTCAGCAATGCTTCACGTTGTCTCAACTAAAGTGTATCTTCCCACTTTAAGGTATTTTGCGCCACAGCTGCTGTCTGACATCCACCAAATTGTCTCACACAACGGAGAAGAATTTCGTTGTTTGGGAATCCGATGGGAAACGTGTTAGGCTGTATTCAATAGCATATTCAAACCAACAAACCACCCATGATTCATTGCGGGACCAGTTTAGTTGGAGTGTTTTTGCCCTGCGTTTGACCTTTCAGGAAAGCACACCTAGATGCTATGCAACCTCCATAAATTACACAAGGTATCCGTGTTTAGGTTTATGTCACAGGCGGTTAGCTAAGGCTAGTTATGGCCATGATAAGAGCTTGAGTCTGATCCTGTAAGGAATAGCTGCCTGAGAGTCACTCCTCAGGGTAAATGATACCAGAGGTGCTGTACTTCGCCGCAGTGCCCTCCATTGGTGTTACAACTAGTAGTGGCAGGTCGATGCTCTCCTCGTTAGAGAGTCTCGGTAGTTCCCCTTCTTGACACACCTTTTGTTGTCTCGTCGAGCTGGAGTCAGCTAACGGTTGCTACCGAGCATCACCCGCGTCGACTACCCGACACCGGTAAAGTGAAGCCGGGGTTAAAGAGTTACTCTGAAGCCAGGAGCTGAGAAGTGACAACCAACACCCTGCAAGGTAGCTCGTCTTGTGCGTAAAGAACAAAGTAATTTCTAGAAATTTCCGCATTAACGACAGGCGTGTCAAACGTTAAGTATCAGGGATGCAGCTATAACTGTCTCCAGTCATTAGCTGGCTAGCTAGGTGGCTAACAAGCTAACGGCAGATAAACAGTATCCTAGCGGAGTTAATGCGATCTGCTTTGTGATCTGTAAGCACCCGCCTTGAAAGCGAAAGTAGCCTACATCCGTATTAGGACAGTCTGTCTGCTCCCGTAACGTTAAGCTGCTGCATAACAGCAGTGGTTTCTGCTAGCTGCTGCTGCTGCTGGTGCTGGTGCTGGTGCTGGTGGTGGTTGCTGCTGCTGCTGCTGCTTTCCTCCTCATTCTGTAGCACCAAACCTAAAACAACATGAACCCCAACTCCTCTGATAACTGTAATGTGTGCATATAGTTATGTAATGTTTGTTGTATCCCTGAGTGAGTAATAAACGGTGGTGTGTCCTTTAGGATGAGTGGTGATGAACTGAACCCAGCTGCAGTGGCTCAGCCAGTAGAGGATGTACAAGGAGATGGACGGTGGATGTCACAGGTTGGTTGTATTTATTATTGCTGGAGAAAACATCCACTCTTTGCCCCCATATATCATAAAATAAATACTAGATTTGTTCCATGTATGCAGACAAATGCTGCATTATTTCTTAGAGGACTGTCTTATTCCAGGGCTTATCCGTGCTTCTCTATGCCATCAATACATAGTTAAAAGTAAATGTAAACAGACACTTGTTTGGAGTTTTATCCAGGTCGGTTTTGGTTGCAATGTTGTTTATTGTGAATTTTGCATGTTCTAAAATCACAAAATGAACAGAGGATAACATCCCACTGTGATGTCTGGCTCTGTTTCCATGTGTGACATAAATCACCCCACTCTTCAATTTATGACTTTTCTTATCACCTTATTTGCTAATTTGCCCCTATTTACTACACATTTTATTAGGTAGTAATTTAATCTTACCACTGATGTTCATGATTGTGCTGTGATCCCGTGGAAGTGATTGTTTTCAAATAAAGAGATGCAAGCTAGATCTGCACCAATGATGAGACGATGTTTGGGTGATATTCTCAATAATATTAGTGACGAATGTGAGAGGTGAGGTTGATATGGGTGGTCATCATTATATTAGTCGATTCCCAAGACTTGTATTTCTTTCAGACCCTCACTTTTTCTAGCTTGTTTAGTCGCTCCTCCTAGCAGGTCTATGCAAGGTTAATCCTCCAAAACTAATAGGACTGAGGCAGTCTGCTTGCTCCAAGCTGTAATGAACTTGCAGGATTTTTTTCTGACTTGGAAGCCTAATGAGTATTATCCTCCTGCTAAGAAAACTTGTAACACAAAGGTTTTAATTCAGACTGAAAGGCCTAATGTGGGACTGATTAGATCGTACTGTTTTCTGTAAATCTCTCACAATTGTGGACTACATCATGAGCTCTGTTGTGATGAGTCTGTTTTTTTACAGCACACAAGATTTGTGCAGGAGTGTAAGGATGGTGAACCAGATGTGCTTTTTGTGGGGGATTCTATGGTACAACTAATGCAGCAGTATGAGGTGAGATAAGACATCAACTCTACTCCCATGGCAGTAGCATCTTCATTTTTTTTTTTAAGTCTCAATATTTTCACACACTACTCTAGATACTCAACTTAATGTACTGTGCTGTACATATGCTTATGTTGCCTCACTACTAGTCTTATATTGATACATATGTATATTGTTGTAATGCATTTTGTTCCTGATTGGCATGCTCTGCTGTCAGAATCTGAGTAATTGATATTAGTCACCAAAATATGAGATTCTTGTATGAAATGCAGATTTCTGGTGTCCTGTCCACAGGTCTGGAGGGAGTTGTTCTCTCCTCTTCACGCACTCAACTTTGGCATTGGAGGGGACACCACCTGTAATGTGCTGTGGAGGCTGGAGAATGGAGAGCTGGAGAACATCCGTCCCAAGGTAAGACAAGCCTGCTAAGATCTTCAGAGGAAAACAGTTTTGCGTAAAATAATTTTATTTACCTTTCATATATACACTGTAACATCTCAGGTGCAAAACAAACTCTTGCACAATATGCACTGTATTTTTGTAATCAACAAAAATGTGCATACACTGCTTATAGCTCTCTGACACACACATTCAGAAATGTGCATGTAGCTGTCCCAGACCTCCTCATCTTGTTAAATGTAGCTGGAGCAGGTGGCCTGATTGTCCGTGGTTGTGAGAGGAGAGTTTATCCAGAACAGTGTTTGTGGCCACAGCAGCCATGTCATTTAGCTGCAGTGTGCATTTGTAAAAACACTGTAGCAGCAACAGTCTGCTTTATCACCCTAGCTGTGGTTACTGGCTGATGATGTAGACATTCAAGCCATGAGAACTAATTCTCTCAAAACAACTTAAAGGAGGTTACTTAGATTTTTACACTACATCAGGCTTTGATAACAGTTCCTGAGATTTGTTTGTTCACTGAAAGTGAACAACACATCTGTCTGTGGTCTTGTCCAGGTGGTGGTGTTGTGGGTAGGAACCAACAATTACGAACACACAGCCGAGCAAGTTGCAGGAGGAATTCTTGCTATTGCACAGCTACTCACGTCCCGCCTCCCAAAGGCAAAGATAGTTGTACTGGTAAGTTCAGTTGTATGTCTTGTCTTTTGTTCCACTTAGTTTGATTTAAACAGGTATGTCTTCATTTTCTCTCTGCAGTTGTTACATTGAGACAAAGTAACTTTACTATTGTTTAATTAAGTCCCCTTTAATGTGATGAACATTGCATGATATAAAGTATCCATACTTGATGTGCAACACAGTTACTGTTGAAAAGTCACCAGATGTCAAATGTGGGCATGCTGTTTATTGACAATATGTGGTAAAAGATGGGGTCAGAAAAAATCACTGAAATGAAAACAGGTCTATTAAAATGTTTAATTTTTGTTTTTCAAAGACATGGCAGAACAAAATGCTGTGAAGTTCTATTATTTCTTCTTTCCAATTAAGGCAAATGCAGGTACAGTCCAAAGAACAAGCAGCTAGATTGTGTTCCATAAATAAGAAATTTAGAATATGAAGTGAAACAAATTGTCTCTCTATCCATATGGATACTTTAAGATTCAAAGCTGTTACAGTATATTTTTGATTCTAGGTGGCATACTGTTGAGGCTCTGCCAAAAGGCTAGTGTACTATAAAAAATGATAACTAGAATAAGAGTACAAATAAAAATTAGTCAATGAAACATACAATAAGGGGTAAAATTTTAAAGAAAAAAAAATGCTTTGTAATTATTGAAATACTAAAATGTATGTTGATCATCAAGAATTAAGAGTCCGTTTACCTATAGATGATCCATGCCCCTGAGTTTCAGTGGGAAATGCTAGTAATAAGCCTGTAAAAGGTGATAGGCCAGTTTTAGAGTTAATTTTAGGCTCTTTTACCCTTAAGGATGTTTTTAAAAAAAAACAACCAACAAAAATATATTTTTGTTGTCCTCAGGGTCTGTTGCCTCGAGGGGAGCGGCCCAACCCGCTAAGGGAGAAGAACGCTGCCATTAACGCGTTCCTGCGCTCCTGGCTGCCGCGTCTGGGCCAGGCTCAGTTACTGGATGTGAGCGGGGAGTTTGTCCACTCTGACGGAACCATCATCCCACAGGACATGTTTGACTTCCTTCACCTGACGTCAACAGGCTACCGCGCCGTGGCCAAGCCCCTCTGTGACCTGCTGCTTCAGATACTGGAGGAGACGCCAGAGGAGAGACGGGCGTCACTGGTTTGAGGGCCGTGGCTGAGCAATACATTTATCCAGAGGCATGTCTCACCCGCTGCTGTTGGAGATGGGGGAGACGTGCCCCTGGTGCCTGGAGGAGGAAGGGCTCACTCACAGAGGGGGGGGGGTACCCTGATGTGAGTGGGCCCACAAGGGGTGTGGGATGACATTCATGAGAGGAGGGTTGGGTGTGGAGAGGTGCTGAAGAGGGGGAGAGACCTCACTACAGACGTAGACACTGTGATTGCAGTAGTAAGCTCTATTGCAAAAGGATTTACCAAGGTCAGACTACTCTGAATCATACACAGATATACTGAGATATGTGGGACTGCAGTGGCACACACACAGATTAATCTTGGCCTGTGGATAAAGAGAACGTTTCCCTCTGTCACCTTTGCCTCGGATACATGATACAAAACAAAAAATTTCTTCCCTCATGTTTTGTTTGATGTCCGCAAATGTGTTAAATGCGCGGCCTTACTATTAACACATTAGAAGTCCAGCTCAAAGCACACAGTAGGGAGAACATTATCCAGCATTGTACAATGTTATGAGTCTTACCAGTATACTACAGAGCAGTGGTTCCCAACCTGGTGGTCAGCCCCCCCCCCTCCCACCAGGGGAGGCCAAGAAAAATCTGAGGGGTCACAAGATGGAAAAAGGAAAAATGTTTCTGTGACTTAAAACAATGTTTATATTTTCTCTATTTCTTGCTTTTTTTTAAATTATGAAATTATTAGTTTATTAGTGTTAATTATTATGAAACACTGGATACTTCCACCTTTTCAGGCTTCCAAATAAAAATCCAAAAAACAATTGGAGAAGTAAAAATCATTCCTTGGTGTTACATTAAGTAAAAAAGGTTGGGAACCACTGCTACAGAGGGACTACTGCTGTGATGCACACTATATGATGTGAGTGGTATTTAAAAATAACTCTCACAATTAGATGATTTTGCTTACAGTGTAATCCTGCAACACATACAACAACATATAAAATAATTTATATAAATTTACTCTGTTAGTTTTGTCAGTCCAGTTCTTTATGTGTACTATTTCATATACTCAGCCAGACAGGGAGCACTTAGTCTACTAAATGTTCACTTTTGAACTCGGTGTGTAACTAGATGTCTCTACAAATTGATAATCAATATAAAATAGATCGGTGGATATCTGGAGAGACCACACATACAGTAGATTATTACTTCATTTCGTGTCACCTAAACTCATCACTGAACTAAATGTTCAACTCAAACCTGATGTTGGTGTTCGCTGCATGCATGTTTTAAGGTGAGCCTCAGCTTTGGTGTAGAAAGTCAGCCAATGCTTCTGTATTACATTAAGTATGCATTAATTGTTTATGTACATTAAATGAATGAATGTCAGCCAAAATCATGTATTCATATATCCATAAGTGATGTTGCGCTGTTGAATCTACTTGTCCGATAATCTACATGGGTCTTCCAAACACCCCCAACCCTGCTGCTTACGTGCAAAGCTTCTTTCACACATTTTATTTGTAGAATGACAAATTCCTAAAATTCTATTTTAGGAGGAAAAAAAAAATCTTCATTTCAGACATTTTATTTTAAATGTCTAAAAAAAGAAGTAGTTTAATAATTTCAAGTTTTTTTTATTGCTTAACTACATACTCCCAGCTTTTTAAACTGAGCTCCCAACCACTTCTGGAATGTGTCCTGTGTTTTAGGGACATTTTTGTGAAGAATAATAGAATTTCAGGGCCATGATATTCTCGTGCTCCAGTGCAGCACTGCACTTCATTTTATTTTTCACAACCAAGTAAAAAAATTTGAGACAAGCAGGTGGTTGTTACATTAGCTCCTGTCCTGCCTTCATCTTACATTGCCTATCATGAGTTATTCCTTATGAATACAGACTGTTGTGGGACGTGGACAGTTTCTTCCAGCATCTGTATCTCATACTTGTATGTCCAAATATTCATAGTCAGACCCTCAGACTTTGAAGAGCGCAGGCTCTCTCTCCCTCGCCCCCCTTTAATACATGAATATACAGTATTTTCTCTTCATTCTGTTTCTCACCACCTCTTTATTTCTGTCCCTGTCGTATTTGTAGTTGACTCCAGCCCTGCCACCCTGGGACATGACATCTCTACATGGTATAGTTATTGATCTTCTTTTTTCTTTTTTTTCAAGGAATATAAAGTTGCCACATGGTTAAGCTACTGAACACAGCTATACTAAATATTGTCATGCTAAATGCTAAAAAGCAATCACAGGTCATGTACATAGAAGCATTCGTCTGTGAGCTTATACTGTAGCTGTTTCTCCGTGGCTTTGGTTTGTGGCTGAGAGTCTCTTGTCGAGCATCAAATTATACTGCTGTCTTAAGCTCTGCACATTTGCGTGCTGTGTTAAAATATGAATAGTGTATGTGTGTGCCTTAAGTGTTCATGGGGATGGTTGTGTACAGTATGTCTGGTACTGAATTGTGTAAGTTGGATGTATGCGTGTTTAGAAGTGACCCCAGTTGTATATAAGACAAGTGAAGCTTGAGAAAATGGTGCTTGAAGAGGGTTCAGATTGTGGGAATTTGTGTTTGGTGCAATACAGTATTTGCACTGTTTTGACTCACTGTCACGTTATTGCGTTAAAGCATTCCAATAAAAAAAACAAAAACAAGGATCTGATCATGTGTTAGAGTGGTCTTTTCTATTTTTGGTCATTATTAAATCATATTTGAAGTTGAAAGAAAAGATTATTTGGTTGTGGTTGTGAAATGAACACTTTGCAGCACTATGTGTTAGTGTTACACACTGACTCACCAACAGAGGGAACCATTTCATCAGAGAACTAAATTTAGGAAGACACTAACAAGACTCAGTGCTTGTTCCACACCTCTTCTCTTCCAGCTAGAGAGTGTGTTATTGCCTAATTAATTTGCTTTCACCAAGTTTATCTCTCTAATGTTGTAATAATTCACCAACAGCACCCAGAGGTAATGCAGGAGAGGCAATCTCCTGTTAAAAATGTCCTCATTAAACATTTAGTTAAGCGTGCTGGAGTGTATGTGATTGCTGGCAAGTTGTAAAATACCTATTTAATAAACCATTTGCTCACTTTTGATGTTGCTCTCATTCATTTTAACTGTGACCCAAAACTGTCCCAGTGTAGCAAAAATAGTGCTTCCATTTGGAGGCCCACACTGCAGAACGAGTGTGAAGTCTGAAGCTCTATCAACACATTAAACTCAGCCCAAAACTAAACACTGTAAAATAATTTTCCTTGAATTTACATTATGAGTTCATGTTTCTGACACAGAAATAATCGAAGGATTAAAGCACAAGTTTTTTCCATTTTTGTCAGGCTTTCAAAGTAAAAGCAAAGAACTAATCTGTCACATAAATCAGTATTACCTGAAATGGTAAAACGTTTCCTACATTAAACATATAGGGAAATGAAAATAAACACATGGACACATATCTAAATACCCACATAATGTTTTTATAAGTCTTAAAACTTGCCAGGCAGACTGTAGATAAATATTTGACTGCTCCTTCTATCAACATGTGTGAAATGAGAAATGATAACTTTCTACTCCCAACAGCCATCAACAGAGGTGGAGGCGTCATAGGCAATTTAGCTACACCCTGATAAAATCTTTGGCCTTGCATGTTGTTCCTGCTCCGTTGACCCTGTTCAGCATCTGAATGGCCTGATTGAAATGGGAGGGCAAGGAGAAAACATTAGACATACATTCTCACTTATTATTTTATGTATGAACCTGTTGGGTCAGAGTTATACCATCCTGCCAAGTGTGAGAAATGCAGTAGTTACAACATGCATCTGGGTTTTAGACCCATGTGTCATCTGCTGCAGGCTATAGCTTTAATACTGTATCTAATAACACAGCATGGGGACTCACCAGGGACACTGATCGTCTACTATTAAACATTTGGCCCAGAGTGGAAATAAACAGAAGTACACATACTCTGAATAGTTGTACACACCAGCTATATACTGATTTGACAAACTGTCCTTTCACTGTTTTTGGCACGCTTATGAATGAAATGTGAGTGTGCTCTAAAAATAATTCCGAAGATTAAATTTACTGCCTTGAAAATAAGTGACTTTGTGCTTTGTTTTGTCTAAATTAGTCAAATTCCCCTCGTGCGGTTCAGGTTCTTTGATCACCATGTGATGCGACTCATGTTTTAGGATGATGCCTCTCAGATGTCATTGTTTTCATGTGTGTATTTGTGCCAGCGCCATGTGCTGTGACCCTTGTGATGTTGTACATCTTGGTCAAAAATGAAAATGAATCTGTCACATGTTTTAACTTCACAATCAGATTATATTCCACAGGAAATGAAATGCAGAAGTTGTTGTCATGATAAAAGAAGAAGCTTAGAAAACACAGAAAGCTCTTGAGAAAGTTCTTAGTAACTGGGTTATTTTCATGCTTTTCATGCTTAGCAGCAGAGCAAGTGTTTACAAGAGGGATATGTCTCTGCTGTCACCAAGATACTGTGGGGTTTTTATAGCGTGTTGGAGCTGTGCTTTCTGCCTGTGGTAGTAACTAGCATCAGCCAGGTGAAGGCCCTCATGAGCCCTGTCAAATGCAGTAAGAAGCAATTTGTGACATGATAAAGTGCAAGAATGTCCAGGCTGGTTATTTAGGTGATAAATTGCAGATCTTAAGCTGTTTGCGGGTTACAAAACAATTGGAGAGATGGTTTAACCTAGGCAGCATTTTCTCAAAGTGAACTTTGAGGATTTGTGAATATTTAAGCACGAGCTTTGAGCTTTTCAGTTCTCGGTCTCTGTTATTTAACACCTTTGTCTTCCTCTCTCTCTTTGAATTGAAGGGTCATCTTTCAATATTTGGCTTCAAACCAACAGTTTCAAGGGGAAACACCTGCTTCTCACATTACCCACCATTTACACCTGATAGTCCTGTGACCTACATTTCTCCCCCTCTTGTCATTCATTGCCGCCACGTACAGAGCTTTTGACACAACACATGCCACAGTCATACCACAGCACCTTCCTCTGTGGTTCTCGACCAACCTTATTTATACCCATGAGTCCTTAACACACACATACAGTATTCAGTCTTCATGTTACCCTCAGCCTGGAAGCTATGTTTATCCCATCTGATGTGACATCCATACTGAACCATTCACAGTCTCCAAAACCTGCTGCCTCCGCGTGCCTCTCTGTTCATTAACAAGTTGCCTGTCAGTATTTGGAAAACCACACTCATGCATAGATCTACACGTCAAATGACACCTCCATGGAACCACTTTGGTAGGGTATCCAGGAGGGCTTACCATGCAAAAACTCTTTTACCTCTTTTACGGCTTGTGTAACACCATCTCTGCATCACTCAAACAGTGCAGACGAATTCCAAAGGGTCTTTCTACTCCACGACCAGGTCATCGAAATTCATTTATACCCATTGATTTCTGCCCTGCACCTCTCGATAATTGTCTTGGTTCTAAAGCTAATTCAGCAGGTCTCAGGTCAGGGTCATCCTGTCCTATTTACTTCTCTTTCACCCAGGGCAATCATTCCTTGACTGCAGCCTTTTGTGGCATCACTTAAACACGTTGGACTGACATCACCCTGCTGCATACAAACCTAAGCAGCCTAACAATGCTCCTGCTGTCAACTAATGCCTGCACATGTTTGTCATAGAATAAGAAATAGATTTTTTTTTGGTGCTTAAATGCAGTTTGGGGCCAAATAATCAGCAGGATAAGATGTCCTTTGGCCTGCTTTAGCCAAACAACCAATCAGTGTAGAATTTGAATAGCTACAAGCCTATTATCTGTTTTTCTTCAGTCCCTTTTGTTGTGTGATTTATTGACGAGTATTGTGACTTTCAAAAAGAGGGTGTCACTCCTAACCTCAAGCTTCCGGACATTGTGTACTAACCCAAACACGCCTAAGAACCAAATTAAAATTTCATTTCATTCTCATCTATGGTAGGACATCTGTTACAAGACTAGATTACTATTGTGAAAATATATGTGATATGAATTCAGGGTTTCCTCCAAAATACAGATTTATCTTGACAAATGTGACATTCAAACCTACAAACAATGCATGTGATGGTGTAATTGATCTGCTTTTGGGATAAAGCATTGAAATTCTGGACTCCTGTTTGGATCATTTCAGTAATCTGTTTTATTTCTGAGGAAAAGTGAAGCAGTATTTTAGCTCTTGGAGTCCTTCATTACAAAGGCAATAAAGCACCCTTTATTTAAACTTCATTTTGTGCCCATACCATGTGTATGACTGAGACTGCATGAGACAGTACAGACAAACCAGCCAGCAGGAGGCACTAGTGCTGCTACAATAAAATAATCCCAAACTGGTTTCCCACCCATTGACACTTCCAGTTACATTCATCATGGCCAAACCAAAAGCTCCAGCACTGTGGGTTGAAGCCATGTCTCTGCAGCGGTGAGTGACAGGTTTTTCCACTGGATCGCTCAGTGTCCTTACACCACCTTACTGACTTTACTAACCGTAGAATTAGTTCCAGCCTGATAATCAGACTGAATGGCCATTTCATTTGCTTGAGGCTTGAGGTCTGGAGCAGGCTACAGCTTTGCAGCCTTGTATCCCTACTGAAAACTAAGTTTGATAACTTAAAGAGGTACAGTATATGGTTTCCGATTTTTGAAATGGTAAATGGACTGCATTTATATAGCACTTTTTTAGTCTATGGACCACTCAAAGTGCTGTATAATGTACGTCTCATTCACCCATTTTCATACACATTCACACGCTGATGACGCAGCATCAGGAGCAGTTAGAGGTTCAGTGTCTTGCTCAAGGACACACAAGGTCTCTGGAGGAGCAAGGGATTGGACCACGTTCAGGAAATGAACCTCAAGTGGCCTTTGGACGTTATTGGAGTCAGCCCTCTACTGAAGCCACCAGACCAGTGAGGGCTCCACCTCTTGTCTTGCTAAACAGTACAGCGGCAGCTGTTAAAAGAGGAAAAGGTGTTACATCAGTTTCCCCATTCACATTTTCCCAGACAGCCTAAGGGTTCAAACTGGCTTGTCTCCAGTCAAAATGCCACCTCTCTAACCTCAATGCTATCATCACCCCTGTTATGCCCCTGTATGGCAGCAGAGTACATTCCACTGCATGAAGCCAGTGACATGTTGGTGTTTCCACACTTTCATTTAAACCCTGATGGAATGAAGAAAATGGCTCCTGTGTCAAAAAGTCCAGACACCGCTGCTCTGCTCCAATCTCACTGCAGAAACGTTAAAAAGATTGTGACTACAAGATAAGGATCAAAAGTACATTTGTTTTAGCTTGCTTTGGGAATATTCCAAATGTGACAAGTGGGTTTTTCAATCTTATTAAGTAAGTTGCCTTCCACAGTGGTGTGGCTAGCCAGAAGTGAAATGAATTTATGAGTAATGAAAACTCAACCTCAAAGTCATTGTGTCATATTTTTCCTCACAGTTACATAGTTTCTTCACTCCCCAGAGTAAAAAGAATACAACCACAGCCTTGCTTAAGAATAACAGAATATAAAATGAGGGGGATTCTAGTTTTCCTCTCATGGGTTTGTCCACACAGATTCAGGAACCTTCTTGTTTCAGCTTCTGTAAAAGCTGCCACAATCAGTGTGTATACACGTGCCTGTGTCTCAGGAAGTTGAGTGAGTTGTCCACCAAACGGAAGGTCAGTGGTTCAGTTCCCGGCTCCTCAAGCATGTTGATGATACTGAACTTCAAATTACCCCCAAATGTAACATTGGTGTGCGAGGGCGTGTGTCAGAAAAAAGAAGTATGCATAGAAAATGAGTGAATGGGGGAATGTGGCTTGTAGTGTGAAGTGCTTTAGGTGGTCAACTTAATTGAAAAGCACAATATGAGTGCAGTCCATATCTGTTGACATCATGCACAGCTTTCAAACTCAATCAATCTTACGAAGCACCATTTTCACTCAGATTTACTACAATGACCTATTACTGATAAATCAATCATGAACTTATCATGAGTCACTTAACTGATTCATGAAATAATGATGAAAGTTACACTTCACTACAAACAATACCTGATAAGATTGCAAAGTCAGGGAGTAAATTATATGTGATAATGTTTGTTAGTTCAGTTTGTCTACATATGATGAATTAAAAGTCAGTGGTAGCTAGTTGCAAACTCTAATTTGTCTAACTGAACATTTTAAAGACCCTAAACTGCCACAATGTATAGCCTTCAGTTAGTGCCCCATTAATTTTGTGAAAATAAAGACACCTAAAATGATCAAATTAGAGCTACCGGAGTAAAGATATAAATGAGGAACATACTGTATTATGAGTTGAATGGTAAAATCTTCAGTAATCCTACTGATTGCCTCCATATGATCCTCCTATGGTAACAAAGTGGATGATGATAGTCACGTACTCTGAATAAAAAACATTAGAATAGACAATTTAAAGGTCAGATAGTAATTCAGACAGCTGAATCTATTTTAATCTGTGCTACTTTACTGAAGTAGTCAGACCTGCCTTGAACATTTCATGTAATATGTTTGTTTCTTGTCCGAACGGTTGACAGTGTGGCAGTGATGCGTGACGAACAGCAAGAAGGAATCAGAGTCCTCGTCTAAAAGACTAGCGATGGACCCCTGAGATAAACTAGAGTGTAGTGTGAGACTCAAAGAGTTCACTTATACCAAGGCAAACCAGTCTGCTGGAGCTGAAATAAATATTGGTGTTGAAATAATAAATGCTTTCTGGCAATTATGATTATCTAAATGACAGCTGAGATGACAGCTGCTGCCCCTTAGAGACTAATGTGCTGCAGCCCCATCAATACTACCGTTTTAATATTGAAGACATTATACAAAGCTTTATAATGATATTACTACATCAGAGGCAAGTGTAAAAAGTCTTTATTAACTATTTAATATGTGTGACAGCACAGTGATGAAACACGTAAGAGAAGCAGTTTTCTAATGCTTTTATTGTGAAAATAATACATGAGAAAACCAAAAATGAAAGAATAAAACATAAATATATGCCACCCCACTGACAAACTGCATATTTATTGTATTGTTTTCACTTGCTTTAAATCAGTACTGGTTTCTCATGAATATACAATAAACCATTGTAGTCCTCTGTGTCACACAGTTTCCTGTTAACAGACAAAGAATGAGAAGGAAGAGGAAAAGGAAGTCTTTTTGTTTGTCCTCCCTCTGCAATGATCAGTCCTTTTTTGGAAATGCTCTCTGATTTCATAAATCCTGTTCTGTCTTGACCTGTGCTCCTTCAGACCCCAGCCACCTTAATCTTCTGTGCCTCACTTCCTCAAGACTTTTTTTTTAAGCGCCTCTCCTTCCTGTTGTCTCTGTATAATCTCTTTCTCTCATCAAACTTTACTTTCTTCTTTTACTATCTTCTCCTTCCTGCTTTTCTTCTCCACCTCTGGCCTGAGTCAGTTCATGCTGAATAGCTTAGTCTGCACCCCAAAAAAAAAAAAACGAAGAAAAAACACAGCATAAACAAAACCTTGGCAGGGGATAGTGATTGTCCTCCTCTGAATCCCCCCCTTGTTTCTATCATTCCATCCAACCAGAGGAAGACGCTCGGCCAGAAAAATCCAGGCTTTATCCCCACCCATCATCACTCCCTCCCATCATTTTTTCTCCTCCCACCTTTGAGCAGGTTGCCTTTTTTTATTTGCAGACTTTATCATATCTTCTTATCTCTGTGTGGAGCACAGCCCAGGTTTAAAGCAAACAAAGCTAGGTGTTAGGCTACAGTTACCTGAAGAAACATTAACCATGTTTATTATGGGTTGCCATGTACAAAATCCATTTCTGTTTACCTGGTGCCACACAACACAATGTGTGATCAATAGCATTATCACTAGATGTCAACAGAGCTTAAACTATTCTCTTAGTTCATCTATTCATCACACAGGAGGCTTCTTTACAGTTAAATCAAACTTTATTTCAATATCGTCCATTAAACTCTAAAAAGAAGGTCCAACATCGATTAGAAATTAGTTAACAGACTGTGTTATGAAGCAGGTAAAACACGCACAACTGTATTTTATGTTTTTCATGAAACTATTTAGGCAATTCACTTTCTAAATTATACAGGTGGATCTATGTATACTTCAAATTTTGTATTTAACATTATTGTAAACCACAGCACTCCAGACACTTCTTACCTTCCAGGCTGCCACTTGTTTCAGTTCATTCCAGTAATCAGTGAATCAGCAGAGACTTGAAACTTGCTTGAGACAGGTAATCTATCACACTGAACACTCTGCTCAGTTTACTCTTAATCATTCATGTTTGTTAACGCAGCATTACAGTTATGATATGCTGTTGTACTGCAGATATGGGCAGGGAACTTTTTCAAAACTGTCCTCCGTGGTGCATTCAAGGACATCCTGACGTTCAAGAATTGACAGCTACTCTGTCAGAAGAGCAAAACTGGGAGATTGACGAAACACAAACAGGGGCACCATGAAAAATAAATATGGATTTGGTTGTTTCATCCATTAAAAAGTCTAAAATCTCAGATGTCAGAGTGCCCTTGAATGCAGGAAGAGTTATGAAGAGAGTTCCTGAAGGCATTACCATGTTGCATTAATGTCGGAAACTTAATGTTGAATGTGATGGATTACTTCTCTCAAGCGAGTAACAAGTCACTACCTGTTGATTTTTATAGTGTACTGAAATGAACTGGAACCAGTGGATGTCTGGAAGGTAAGAAATCTAAACTCTTATGGTTGAAATAAAAAGCACATTTGATTTTAAGGTAGTGAGTTAAGACATGCAAAACAACTGGAATGATTCTTTATGAAAAAAATATTATTTACAAGGTGGCCTAGCAGTGTGTTGCTGTAAAAATACTGTGAAAAATTCTCTGTCTAATTGTGTAATCACTTAAAAGTCTTTATCTCTGTGTGTTTCCTCAACATGGAGTGTGTGTTGTGTATGTGCACATGTTCTTGTTGGTCCCTGTTTTGGTCCAGTTTTGTCTTGAGAGCAGTCAGGTCACATTCCACCTAATGGCCAAGGTAAGAGCAAGAGTTTCTCCTTCCTCGCTGACTGGCCTTTCAGAGGACAGAGGGAGGAGGGTATTGGAGGAGCGTTTAAGCACTGCTTGGCTTCAGGGGTTGTTGATAATCTGCCTGGGTCTTCCATAACCTGTCATGCCGGCTTGAGATGCTCCTTTATTTGTGCCCATTTGCAGGCCGATGACATTTCTGCCTTCGCTCAGCTGTTCCTCTGAGAAGTCTCTCCTGTTCTCTTGGGCTTTCCTGCACACATACACACAACTCTCAGTCCACAATGTCATTCTTCAGCACTGAAATGAAACCTCCTTTGTTTTACCAGACGAGGTCGTTCATGGGGTGAGGGTGGGGGGGGGTGGGGGGGTTCTCATACTCACTTATGGAACCAGTTGGGGTCTCCTTTGTAATTCCCATCATCCTTTGTGACTGCCAAACTACCCAGAGCCATCAGGGTCCTCTGGACGGCAGCCAGGTCTTTGCCTGAGGACACGCAAAAAATTCAAATGAATAGAGCCCACACTAATCCAGGGATGAGACAGGGACTCTCCACCACTGCAGTGCAGCTTAATTTCCTCATTTATACCATAATAACAAGACTCTGTTTTAACAATACAGATGAGTTCTGCTGGTTGTCTCACCTTCAAAGAGATCTACAGTCTGGAACATGTCAGTTTTGGTGACTCCATAGCTTTCTGCAGCTTTGAGGAACAGGGAGATTTGCTCCATCTGCTTAAATGCCATGCCGGAGGTCTTGATGGTCTTGACCAGCTTGTTGGCTCCGCACAGGCTGTTGATGAGTTCACACAGCACCTACAGGCACACGGCAGTAGCAGATTCCTCTAAATATACTGTACACAATGTAAATTACACCGCTATAAAGAGACATTTGTGTTCAGGGAAACCCAACACTCACACATCCATCCTTGAGCCAGTTTTGGAAGCCAGTCTTGCCTGGCTCAGGTCGGCCCACACCAGGACCACACTGGGCCATGATCCACTCCACCAGCCTTTCCTCCAGTTCCGGGTCGTATTTCTTATCAATCTTGCTCTGAACCTCACGGCTCAGACCATAGGCAGGACCTTTGTTTGCCATGCTGATCCTGTTGGGAGGGAAAGTTGGTGTTAGATAGGCGAGTAGCTCAGCAAACTTTACTCCCTGGCAGCCTATTGTGTCCTTTTCATTATGGATATTTAATAGATGCAACAACATTCACATTCAAATCCCTACGCTGCTCACACCCACTGTCCTGGCCCACATTCAGAGCAAATAAGATTTTAGTCACACTCTTCCTGTGCATGTGAGTGTGAATGTGTTTCGGTTGTGTGTTCTGTTTTTAGTGAGCTCCTATTAGTTTCAAACTTTCGGACTGAGTAAGCAAATTTTGGCTGGTCCTCACTTCTTCAAGGGGACATTTTACTGTTGCTATTTGAACTCTTTTTAGCTAAGGCTAAAAATAGGTTTAAGTCATGGTTGGGGTAAGTGTTAGAATTATGCATCTAGTGTTGCTGGTTAAAGGAATACTTTGACATTTTGGGAAATATGATTATTCGGATTCTGGCAGAGAGTCAGATGAGAATATGTGAGAAGTTGATACCTCTGTAATGTCTGTGTGTAAAATATGAAGCTACAGCCAGTTAGCGCAGCTTAGCACAAAGAGTGGAAATAGGGGGAAACAGCTAGCCTGACTCCATCCAACAGCAACAAAGTTAGCTAACTCTAAAGTTCACAAATTAGCATGTTATATCTCATTATTTTTGTCCATGCAAAAGCCAAAGTGTAGAAACTGTTGTTTTACAGTAAGGATTTTGTAGGGATTTAATAAATGAACTTTAATATATTAATTAGTGAGCTTTACAAATGTTTTCAGGATTTTTTTTAACTTTCATATTCAACAGACAGATGTGAGAGTGGTATCAATCTTCTCATCCAGCTCTCCACCAGAAAACAAATTTCCCAAAATGTCACACAGTTAATTTAAAGCTAGAACTAGGGGACAAAGACGGCAGTCAATGAAGAATTGAGGACAGAGGTACAAAAGTGCATGTGTGTTTCTGCTTCTCTATAATACAACAGAGTACACTGAAGCATCTTCTTCGTTTATCGTAATGATATAATGTGCACATTTCCTCACACTATTTAATATTTTGTATATGGAAACTGGAAATACCAAATGTCTTGAGGAATTTTGATCCTGCAGTTGACTGTAAGTAATTGTCTCACTTATTAATGCAGTATGAGTTTCCTTTTAGCTTCAGCAGAACTGCCCCACTCCCTGCATCCTGTTTGCTCATTCAGCTGTCACTTCCTTCCTCTCTCCCTGACAAAGGTAGCTATGTGTATACAGGACTCTAAACAAAACAACACACTGCTGCTCACTATGGAAACGACCTTTAAGCAAACAATTCCATCAAGCCTGTTAAACAGTGAAAGCATGAGAGGGGCGCCTTAATAACCACCATGATGCACGTATTGCTTTTATTGATCAGAATCACTTAGTTACACATTCCTGTGACATTTGCGAATGTCTAGAAAAGCAAATAAAATATGAAGATGTTTATAGCTGATAGGACTAGCTGATGAGTCCTGCTGCTCTTACTTTTATTTGCTTCCTGCCCAAGTATGATACATACAGAATATAGTGTGTAATTATAGTGAAAATGCATATTTTTTCATTGTAAAAGGTTGGAAATACCATGTAGGATTGCGTGCATCTGTGCAAATCACATTTAATATGCACCATAAAGTACATTTGTCCCTCCAGGCCAGAATGGCACACCTATTACATCCCTTGCAAAACAGGGGCTTGTTAGTCTTACACAATATGTGTTGATAGTTTGAAAAATCATCAGTGACTAACAGCTCCACACTGGAGCCCTAGTGCATAGATCACACTTGCGTCTCTGTTTATTGTCTGAGGTTGCATTGGTTATGTAGGCATGTGGATAAGAAGCCTCTTCCTGTCCATTAAGTCATTCCAAATCCAGTTTGTTACAGCAACAGGGGTGAAGTAAATATCCAAACATCTGAACTCTTGAACAGTCTCTTTCTCAATCAGAGGAGTTCTGTTTGTGGTGTCGGGGCACAGCCACAGAACATCCAGCAGCTGCAAACATCAGGACTTATCTCAGCATGCAGTGAACAGTGAAGAATGATGAAGTCAAGCGTGTACTCCTTCAGATTAACCCTGAGTCTGACCTGCACTTTGAGCTCTGAACTACACATGTAAACCACTGGTTGCATGTCACAAGATTAAGTCATGCCTCTGTCTCTCTGTCAGTTCCAGGAGTGATTTTTTCTGAGAACTTGATTGTAAAACAGAGTCCAGAAAGATATAGCAGGGCAGGGACGGAGTGGGACTGGCCCATCAATGCGCTTTAGAAATGAACTGGGAGCGGCCCGGTAGCTTCTGGGAACATCTTGTAATCATAGAGTCACAGCTACAACCCCCCACAAAAAGCAGGATGTCGATAACGGATGTGTGCTGCTGAGGTTACTGAGGTGATTTCAAAGTGTTGAAAATAAGTATAATAAATTGATCATTCTTTGATCAATCATTCTGTAGACTTCAGTGTTCAATATGTAACTTCACACCAAATTAGCTTTCTGACTTCTGTAATGACTATATAAACATTCTTACCTACTTATTACTATATATAACTTACACTAACATTTACACTGACATGTCTGATAAATGATATCACTGTTCAGCTACCTTTCCCTCCATTTTCGCCCATGTGCAGTTTGAGTGTTAAGTGTCTTACTCAGATGCAACTCCAGTTGTTACTGTTATAATAATCATTCTCATCCCCCGCCCAGATTCTTCTGCTTTTGTATCATAGCAATTTGGAGTCATCCGTTACAAGATGTTTCACAACTTTCATGCAATTGCAGCAAGGCTGCATAAAACTACGTCATTGATGGTTACTATTTTAACACCATTTGAGCTAAGTGAAATCTGATTGGTGACTCATTTAGTTCAAGAAAAGACTAAAAGGTTGCTCTGAAACCGTTATGAACATAATGGCTCTAAAAGGATAAAGTAGTCAATATGATTATATCTGACACATCTGAGTACATGAGTGTGTTCCCTTTTGGTCTGCATAGTCCTAGCTGCTGCTGAGCCACACTGTTATTTCAATGCTCTTTAGTTTACCTTGTCACTCAAGATAGCAAGAGCAGCCCAAACACTTAAAATCGCAGTTTTAAAGTTGTCTCACGCTCAAAAGCACATGCTTGCACATAAAACTTAACATTGGTACATAAATGTCACATCACGTGTAACAGTCACATGCAGAGTTTTACTGCCATATCCTGAACGAGAGCAGTCTGGTGTTCAGAACATATATTGAAGTGAAAATGACATGTTATTAGACAGCACTGGCTACATGTTGAAGAGTCTCTGATGTGAGATTTGTCAGAGGCTGAACCTGTTAACGCTCTCTGAAACTGTGAGGCCTCACATTTTGCCGCAGGCACTTGTGAAGAGAGCTGAGAGCTGAGATGTAGAAAGAAAGAGGATTTCATAACACAAGAATTTTCAGACTCGTGGGTCATTTAGAGGCTATCTGCTGCATACACAAAGAGATAAACTTTAACTGGGCGTTTAGCCTGCTTAGTCTGCATGATCAAACATGAGCAAGACAGAAGGAGACAGAGAGCGAGGGTGGGGTGTGTGATACGTTATACTTCATTTTTTTCTCATGTTTCCTGCACAAAGGTAGCCACAAGCTCCTCAAAGCAGCAAAGAAATCTTTTGACTGCCAGTGTAGAAACTAGAACAACTGGAGGTTACTGAGTGAGGCCAAGAGAGAAGAGTTTACTTACTTTGTGTAGTAGCTTTCAGGTAAGTACAGGTGGGTTTGAGCTCGTGTTGCTGTGTTCCCGCTCTTCTTCTTCTTCTTCTTTACAACTCAGCGTGGAGTGCACTGTACAGGAGTGCCAGTATAAATACAGCAAAGACTCTTGTCTGAAATATATGACTTCACCACATTCAACAGAAAGAGAGAGCATGAGAGAGATACGCCTTCAGGTCCTCTTATTTCACTCTATGACCCGCCCCCTTTGCTTTTTCTCCTTTTCCTCACTCAAATTGTAATTCCTTATTTAGGAGAAGGACGGGAAGGAAAAAGAGGCCATGTGACTGGAGAGTTTGGTGTGGTCACTGAAAAGAATTCTCCAAATTTCTCCCTCTACCGCTAAAGAACAAGACAGGATTAGGAGGAAAGGAGGGAGGGATGATAAAATCCTTGAGAACAGTGAAGTTTGCGGAGCACAGGAAGGGAGTTACAGTAATTAGAGAGCAGTGAAGCACATGTAGATCATTTATTGCCTTTATTCAAACGTGTGATGTTTGCGGCCTCTCAAATCTGTCTGAAACTGAAACAGGCAGCAGGCAGCTGTGGAATGTAAATCCCTGCACTGTGTTGAGTTTCATGTCAAAGCACAATGAAGAGGAAGGAAAAGAACAGGTCATGACACACCACAACAATTTTTCCTAATAGCTGAAAATGTAAATCCATGACGAACGGAAGCGACTCTTGTCCTTGTGCACAGTTTCAGTACATCCAGACGGTTTCTATGACAACAAGCCGAGACACTCCCTCCCAGGCATTCCAGTCATGCCAGCCCCGTGGACAGGAACAAGTCAGGACCTGGCAGAGCACTGAGGTGAAACCGTGACATCAGACACAACACTGTGGGGAGTTGGCAATGTATGAAGTCATCGACTGGGCCCATCATGAAAATGTATGTGTAAAGAGCTGCTGGGAATGTTTATGTCATCCATTTTTTGTGTCACATCAACAACAGAACACCTAGCTACAATATTCAACCACCAGCATGTCCACAGGATTAATGATCACAACCTGAAAGTGGTTTCGTTGCAGTAGAATATTTCCTCTTTCCAGCACATGCTGTATCTGCATTCAAGTTCAGGTCAGCTGCCGACGTTACTTCCACTGTCACCACTTTTTTTTTAAATACATTGTTTGCTTGATTTAATTTTTATTATAGGTAGATAATACATGTTGTAATCAAATGAAATCAACTTAAAAATAACACAAAAAGAAGAAGAACAGGGACATGTAATAATGTCTGTATCTACTTCTGTCGGTCTACACAGTAAATCTAAAGTGCCCTGTTTGTGTGTGTAGCAGGCAGTGGGGGATCCCTTCAAGGTCACCATGAGGTTACGCCTGCTTCCTGGTTGTAATTGTTTGGGGAGGGCTATATATCCATCCTGATGCTGCTGCTCTCTCTCTCTCTCTCTCTCTCTGCTGCCTGGTGAGCCTGTGGAGTGCTGTCTCTGCTCTGTTTCTTCTGTTTGGTAATTGTGTTAGTTTAGTTATTGTGTTTTAACTGTTTATTTAACAGTTTTGCTCAGTTTTGTTGTTTAATATAGCACTTAGCCTCGAGTTAATTTGGTGTTTTCTGTTAGTTGTTTCTTTTGTTTGTACGCTGTTGGCCCTTCTGGCATTAATTTGGTTATTTCCCCCAAGAAGGTATATCCTTGCTGTGATCTAATACGTGTTTTTCTGTCCCTGTACGAGTGCTGTAGGTGCGACAGCGAGTGTGGCCGGCCCGACAGTGGAGGGTTTGGTGGTAGAGTTCATCACCTGTGCTTCACCACCCCCCATAATAGTGTGTTTGGTAAATTTTGCACTTCCTTCACTTATTTATTTGCATCCCTTTTGTTGATTTGCTGTGTGAGTGTGTAGGGCACCAGAGTGTGGTGAGGTGCTCTATCCCAGTGTGAATTTTCTCCCTTCCCTGTCGGCCGCCACAGCTGCTAATCCTACAGCTCTCCCTCTCCTTTTATTCATTTAAACATTGGACAGATTAGATCTTGAAGAACCTCTTTTTATATTTTCTATAGTTTTTTAAATTACAAACTTTAATAAATTGTTGTTTTTATATATTGACTTTTTAACCCTTTTTGTTGAATAAATTTGTAATCTTGGGGGAAATCTTTGTCTCGGTCCATTTTCTTTTCGTCATCTGTATTGTTAAGGGATCTGTGGACTAACTGGTTTTAGGTTTAGGTTTTTAGGTCAGTCGCACCTAAATTTTCAGTTAGATCCAGGTCTAACTGCGTCCCAGCCACATTCGGAAGATTTAAAATACCTCTTGTGCATGCGAGAAGTGCGCCATCAAGACTTTCTGGATGAAAGGCTTGAAATAAAAATTAAGAACGGAAAACAATAAGTTAACTAAATCAATAAATATAACAGGATTCATACCCAAGCCTTTGCGAATGTCCTATTTGTGATTCATTCTTCCATCACACTTTGTTCTCTCTCGCTCGTACTATCTCACCTGACTTCCCAAAGCTTTTCTGGCAGAAAGCCTTCAGCAATTAAAATACATTTCTAGCCAAAAGAAGGAACAGAACAGTAATGTTTTCAGATGAAAAAAAATGATCCTGGAAAAAAAAGCCTTTCAGAGCTTCTGTAATATTTTTTTGAATCAGCTGTTTTAATTTATCTATTTTAAATCTTCCACATTTTACACTTCTGCCTTTTTTTTTTAAAATCAAACCCAGCTTTTGTCTGTTTTTTTTACTTGAGAGTCAGTTTTAAGTACTTTTAAGTACTAGTCAGTACTTAAATGTTAGAAATCATTTAAAAATGTTATTATAATATTGAAATGGACAGCCCAAGAACACAAAGAAAAAGACAAACATTCAAAAATGAGAAGCTGGAACCAGAGAATTTTTGGCATTTCCTCTTTAAGAGATATAAACAATTAATGGATTATCAAGGTTGTTAGATTAATTTTCTTTCAATTGACAAATTGATTAACCAACAAATGTCCCAGTTTGATATTTAAGTATCCATGAACATTTATGTATGGATGTATATATGTATTTTTATAGCAATACTTCATTTTTGTTGCAACCTCATTTGGTATTGAGATTCATCCTTGACCCTATACTGATATTATATTTATGTCCATTACATTCTCACACAAAATATGGCTTTATCTGAGCCTCAAATGAAGTTGAAGATGAAGTTGTGATGCAGTCTGCAATGACCAATGGAAGAAAAATACTTATACTAAAGTATCCTTCCAGTTTAAGGTATTTCTATATATGTGTACACTTCTTCTCCACTACATCTCAGAGGCACATTCAGCTGACAGCCATAGTTACTAGTTACTTTGTAGATTAAGAGACATATATAGCATGCTTATAATATATGATACTTTTGTATAATTTAAGCTACAGTATATATATAAAATAATAACTTTAATTTGACCAGCTACAACATTAAATTGCTGCTTACATATAAATATCTAAACTCAGAAATGGGCCATTTTGCATAATGAATGCTTCTACTTTTGATACTTAATTAAAAATGTTTAGTTTTAGTTGTAATGGAGTGTTTTTGGACTCTGGTATTACTATCAAAGTAAAGGCTTTCCATTGGCAACAACCCCTATCTTGTGAATATACCGTGAACTGGTTGACATGGTGGGTGGGGAGCCAGAGGGGTGTGACTTGGAGGAAAGTTCATGTTCAACCAGATGATAGATAGCTGTGTGTGTGCGTGGGAATATGGGAACCATTATCCAGCAAACCTGTAAACAGTGAAGATACACACAGATGAAAAATTCCACATGTGAGTGAGCTCTGAATGAGGGGAAAACACAGTCAGCATTTCTTTGTTTTTCACCCTGAGAACTTTCTTATGTCAAAGTGGGAAGATGTAATCTTTTTTGCTTTGCCTTATAACCTGGCCTGAACTTGATGGTTTTATACCATAACTAACATTACTCACTCTTTTTTGTGTTTGCTCATTGTGCTTTGCGTCTCCAAAATGCTATGTTTGCAGGAAGGTAGAAATCCAGCAATTATTTATTTATTTATTTATTTTTTGGCTATTTCATGCCAGCTACTGATCAGCCCCCCTATGAGCCTCTACCAGCTGTTGCTGCACCACAGCAACATCTGGTGGCTCAGCTAGCAGGTGACATCCTCTCATTGCTTCTTCCTCTGTGGTGTAGTTTTAACTCCACTCCAGTACAAACAGATAAAAGCACGAGTACATTCTACTTTAAGCAAGCAATATGATTTTGTTCCATGGGAGGATAATTTGATGTATTATAGTCACTCACCTCTAGAGTCAACCTCGTCCTGAGGACACATTTAACAGATTTCATTTTATTTTCATCGAGCTGGACACACCGCTGGGTGTTGATGGCCCCGCTGAGAGCTGCTAATTGAAAAAGAGCTGCCTGGTGGACACAAAACTGTGATGTCATCAGGGTGTAAAACCTGAAGCTGTTACGCAGAAAAAGAAACTTAACAGATGGAGAAGAATAAGTGAGCACCAAGGGAGATCATCAAAGAAAAGTGGAGGGGATTTTTGTTGTTGTCTGCCTCAGGATGAATAATTCAACTACAAACCTATTTTAGGTCCAAAAACCAAAACAATATGTGATGTTCCATAAAATCTGTCTACGTGCTTTATGACTTTTTCAGAGTTATAAATACTAAATAATAAATAGTAGAGTGGGCTGTCTTTGGTCAAAAAATAAATAGATTTTAGCCATGCTAACGGTACAGCTCTGGGGATGGTCTGTTGGTCCACCACTTTGTTCCAGACTGAAATATCTCAACAACTGTTGCCATGAAATTCGGTACACACATTCACGTTCCCTCAGGATGAACTGTACAAGCTTTGGTGAGCTTTAATGTTTCATGTAGCACCATCATCAGGTCAAATTTTTAACTTGTCTAATACTTTGATTTGTGACCAAATACCTTCAATACCATCAATCTCAGCAGTGCTTTCTTTTTCGTGCTAATCAGCAAATGCTATCATGCTAACATGCCAAGCCAAGATGATGAACATGATTAACATTCAACAATTCTATCAGTTATTTCATTTTTTTAAAATTTATTTAGACTTAGCCATAGTCCTTGGATCATTTTATTTTCACTCAACAGACAGGGTTCAAGACTGCTTTGACTGGGCATTCTTTAAGACTTTAAGCTATAACTTGCA